CGGGGCAGAGGGGCTGCAGCTGCTGCCTGTGCTGGCAGGAGGCAGACGGCAGAGGAGCGCGAGGCTGAGCGCCAGCAGGCCAACCGCCTGATGCTGCACCTGCAGCAGGAGGCCTTCCAGAAGAGCCTGAGCCAGCCGCTGCCCCAGGACCCGCTCTGCATGCACAACTCCTCCCTCTACGCCCTGCAGAACCTGCAGCCCTGGGCCGAGGACAATAAGGTGACGTCCGTCTCAGGGGTGGCCTCTGTGGTGTGAGCAGCGGGCCCGGCCACCCCCGCGCGTGCCGGGGGTGGCGGGAAGGGGCTGCCGTTCCCAGGGCAGCTCCTGCACAGCAGCCCCTTCCCTGCACCCAGCTCGCTGTCCCCAGCCGGCGCCGGCCCCCTCAGGCGGCTCGGGGGCTCCCGCTGGGATGCTGCCCTCCCGGCCAGTTCCAGCACAGAGCCCTGCTCCCCTTGGGGCCGCTCCAGCTCCGATTCTGTCCAGGGAGGGCAGATCTCGGGGCAGGGGGGCAGGGAACTCCCCTCCCCCAGATTTACACATTCCCGGAGATGGAACACGCCCCCGCTGCCGCCCTCGGGGACTGGCTCCAGCGGCGGACTGCGTTGCTCGCCAGCACATGCCTTATCCGAGCTGAGGTTGCCAGCTCCCTTTTCCAGCCACAGCCCCGGGCTCGCAGAGGAGCCCCCCGGCTGGAGCGGCCTCAACGGGACCTGGACAGACAGATGTTTGTTGCCACCCAGCCTGGGATCCCGGTATTCCAGGCCTCCTCTTGCCAGTCTGCTGGATCTCTGCAGCCCTGGCCCACATGTGATGGACACCCGTGACCCGGCCACGTCGAGGATTGCAGACACCCTGCAGGCCATGTTATGCAGCTCTGCATGGAGACCACGTTATGCTCCCAGGACACCTCCCCTCCCACCTGAGATTCCTGCATTTTGACCATGGACTGAACATTTGGCCTTGCCTGATCCGGGCTTTGCTGTTCCCAAGGACAGGAGGTGTCTGCTGGGGTCTCTAGTGCAGAACTCCCTTCTCCAGCAACCTGCTCCCACTCTGATCCATGACTTGTTCTTTCTATAGAGACACCCTGAGCCTCACAGTGGGGCCAGGCTGTACGAGTCTCCCAAGGCCACTGGGACGGGCAGAGTCCTGGGGTCTGGCAACATATTGTCCAGCCATGGGGCAGGGTGTGGGGGGGTGACCTGAGCCTGCCCAGGCCATGGTCCCTGGCTGTGCACAGCCCCAACCGTAACACCAGCTGTTACCTTAAACCTTGCCCTAACCCCCGGCTGTAACTCTAACATTCACCTCAACCTTAAGCTGAGTTTGCCCTGCTGCAAACTCAGCTCAAGCCCTAGCATTGACACTAACCCCTAACCCGCCCAATCGTAATCCTAATCATAACCCCCTCTCTATCAGAACCCCAGACCCAGCCTTGACCCTAACCCTGACCCTAATCACGCTCCCATCCACAATCCCTAACCCCCACTGCAGCCCTAACAGCGACCCCTAACCCCAGTCCTAACCCCAATCCTAACCCTGACCCCTAACACTGCCCCTAGCAGGGCCCTTCCCGCACTCAGACCCC